TGTCAGAGAGAGCGCGTGCGTGCATGCGCACAAGCAGGGGGAGCGGCAGGCAGAGGGAGAAGCAGGCTCCCTGCTGAGCAAGGAGCCCGATGCGGGACTCGATCCCAGGACCCTGGGATCATGACCTGAGCTAAAGGCAGACACCTAACTGACTGAGCCACCCAGGCGTCCCGTGATGTATGCTTTCTGCCCTTTGAATTTCGCCTCTTTTCTCCTAAGCCCAGTCCACCCTTGGCCTCTCCAGCTCTGCCCCAAGAGCCACCCTGAGCCTCCGCAGAGATCAAAGGACTCATCCATACTGCTCCCTTGGCCTGCCCCCGCTTCTCCCTCTTGTCTGCATGGGCCCTCCTCTCAGTCCCCCGTGCATAGAATTTGCTACCTATGCTGACTTCCTTCTGTCCTGGACTCCTGTGGCCGTTCACACCCTACGTCCCGCTCCTACCTGAGTGCCTCGGACCCGTGTTATGGACGTCCTCGTTCATACCTGCAGCCCCCTCTGTGCACAGAGCACTGCCTACCTCCTCCAGGAGAGAGCCAGGGGCCTGGCACACACCATTCCTCTCGGGAGCCGGTCTCTTCCCCTACCCCTGGGCAACCACCGCTCACTCCGTCCTTCACAAGCTCCCCTGACCCTGAGGCCAAGCCAGGCTGCACTGGTACCTGCCCCTGGGGCTCCCTGCCCTCTCTTTCCAGCACCAAACTTCATTACACATGTATTAGGCAGTGTCTGATTGATTGATCTGTCTCCTGTGCCACATAAGCTTCAGAAAGGCAAGATGGTGGCTGGCCGGCTCCCATGCTGTTCCTGCTGCCCAGCACTTACTGAACTGGTACTGATGGGACGATTGCATGCAGGGACCTTTATTCACTTTACTGCTACCTCTTCAGTGCACCCGAGAGGCGCTCAGGAATGGGAGACTGTGACCACCCCCTCTGTTTGCAGAGTAGCTGGCCTGGGCGCCCTGTGTCCGCCGTCAGCCTGCAGGGACAGGGGAAGTGCCCAGCACAGGCCCGGTCCCCTTGTCTATTGACTTTGAATGTAATGGAGTCCCTTTTGGATGGAACTCCCTAGGGAGCAGGGACTCTGTCTTCCCTCTTTAAAGACCCTCCACCCTCCACCCCTGCGCCTGTGACACCTAGACAATTTGAGCCCCTGCTTTGTGCTGAGAATCTCAGAGCCTGGCGATGACTCTCTCAGGGGGTGGGGGACGGCCAGCTCTCCCTGACACTAGGAAACATGAATCTAGAAGAAGTTGGGAACAAGGGGAAAAGATCACATACAGTGGTCCGTGGTCACTGGGGGGAATAAGGCACAGGTGCTCATCCACCCACCAAAAGACAGCACTCTGAGGGGCAACCACCACCTCTAGTTTTTAAATGTGTGCATTTTACACAGCAAGCATGGGGGTGGTGCAGATAATCTGCCTTCTAGGGTCAGGAGGCCCAGTTGCCTTCCGTGTGGTCTGGGCACATTTCCTCTCCACTCTGAGCCTGTGCAGCGGGGTGATACCTACTGGAAGGGCTCTGTGCGGTTCAATTGAGGTCATGTGGGCCAAGTGCTTATGGCGGTGCTGGGCACTTAGTAGGCTGTCAGCAATGCTAATTCCCCTCTGCCCTCCTGGGGCCAAGGCAGCTGTGACTGTCATTAATCCATCCACCCAGCAGGTGCCCTCATTGCTTCGTGCCGTGGGTGGAACTCTGGGGCCGTGGGGTGACTATATAAAAATAAAATCTCTTGAAATAAGTGCTGGCCCAGGGGGAGGTCTCTGAACTCGGACCTTCATCTAGCTTCCCTGTCCATAAATGGGGATGATGACTTCCAGCCTTGTGTACCCAGACAGGGGAGGAAAAGTTCAGAACCCTATCAGACAGGCAGAGATCGCTCAGGGAACAGGTGCCCACTGCCATGCTCAAGAGGACCACTAAGACTGGATTTGGGTAGCTGCATGGAGCATGGCATTTGGTTGGCAACTGCCCATCTTCAGCATTGTTTTAATCAAGTGCTTGCAGCTTTGGAGACACAGCATCATTCAGGTTCAAGGCTGAGTTCTACCACTCACAAGCTGTGTGGCCATGAGCAGCTACTTAACCTCTCAGAGCCTCCATACCTCATTAGTAAAATGGGAGTCATTCTACAGACCTCACAAGCAAATCACATTATTTACTGGCAATTCCTGCCCTGTGAATCCTTCCCTGAAAACGTCCCTCACCTCCCTCCCGATTCTTTCCCCTAGCATAAAAGCTGGAAGTAACCTCTTGTGCCCTCAGGATGGCATAGCAATTGTCATTTTCCACTTCATAGAAACAGCCCTAGGCCATTTTATTATTTTGACAGAAGCCCCAGATCTAGACTGACCCCCACATTCACACACACTATGTGCTAGGAAGACCATGGATATTGCATTGAGTTATTATTGGCTAAGTTTGTTTTTTCATATCCTGCTGGAAACCAAAGTATGGTCCTGGGCTTCTTATAAATATGAACCAACTAAATCATCAGCAAGTAGTAGCTCAGAGCACCCTCCAGAAGCTCTGCTATGAAATCAAGACAGACCCATCTCTACTTACTAATACTCTTTACGTTCACAGTCATTTAATTTCCTCCGTGGGCAGTCAGCACAGTCAAGGCTGGGTCCGTCCTGGCATTGGGTAAACCTTCTTTGGGCATTTACCATGGGCTAGGCTCTTAGCCAGGCAGCAAAGACATGATATACAGGGAAGAAGGCAGGCACATGGAGGATGGACGTGGTAGATGCCCTGCAGAAGGTAGAGTATGGTCCAGAAAATGAACATCAAGCAAAGGAACACAGGTGAGATAGGCATTCACAGAGCAAGGGACAAGCCGTCCCTTGACCTTGGCTGGGAGAGGTCCTGGCCCTGGGGACCTGGTAGGGGCCAACCGGCCTTGGCACAATGGCACCCTAGGTCTCAGGCCACCAAAGCCAGCAGCACCAAGGAGTCCCAGAGGGACGGTGGGGTTTTCTCATTTCAATTTCCTGGTGCCTCTCCAGAAGCGGTCAGAACGGACAGCTCATGAGTGATGTAGGAAAGACGTTAGGGTTTGAAGCCAATGGCCAAGAAAGAATTCTTGAGACATCTTTGGCTCAAAAAACGGGTTTTATTAAAGCATGGGGACAGGACCTATGGGCAGAAGGAGCGGCACTGGGGTTGTGAGGAGCGACTGATGATACAGTTTCAAGTTGGGAGGGGGGTAGGGACAGCACAAGCTTCCCCGGGGATTTTGGAAACAAGGTTTCTAGGATCTGAGGGGGCTAGCTCTTGTTAGGAAAAGGTCATTTATTACTATTTGGTAAAAACTCAAGTCATGAGGCTCTTCAGATATATATCAGCAGGCCATATGCTTGGAGGATGACTGCCAACATGTATCTTGAAGGCTAGAGATAAAGGAAGTTTCCAAAGCAATTTTTATATGTTAAAGTAGACTTACAGGAATCTGGGGGGGGGGTCAGGCTAAAATTGCTTTTTGACCCCCCAGCAAAGCATTAACATTGAGGCAGCTGATTTCCTAGAGGAAGATCACTCTGCCTATTTCAAGGACCTGTCAGTGAGCTATAGGGAGTAAGGAAATTTAAGCTTTCTTTTGTCTTTGTTTCCCACATCAATGGGCATGGATTTTTGCTTTGGAAATGTGTCCAGAATTTACTTCTCTTCATAGGGACTAGGAGAAAAAGAGCTGTGTAGAGGGGAAAGACTGAGGGTCCCCCTGGAGAGAGGGAAGCCCTGTGTCCTGCTCCTTGCTGTGGGTGAAGCCAACAGAAGCGCTGGGGAGGGGCGCCTGGGTGGCTCAGTCAGTTAAGCGTTTGCCTTCTGCTCAGGTCATGATCCCTGGGTCCTGGGATGGAATCACACACTGCGCTCCCTGCTCAGCGGGGAGCCTGCTTCTCCCTCTCCCTCTGCTGCTCCCCTGCTTGTGCTCTCTAACTCTCTCTGTCAACTAAATAAATAAAATCTTTGGGGGGGAAAAAAAAGCACTGGGGAGTCTGATCTGGGGGCATGTCCTGAACTCCCAGCAGATTTTAGGCTTTAGGATTTGTAGAAGAAAACTCAGTACTGTAATAGTATCTTAAAAATAAATGGGCAACTACTGGAGTCTGATACTTGTCTTAAAATAAAGGCAACAAAGAATAAATGAATCGTGGTCCACAAAGAAACAAAACCAAAACAAAATCCAGGCAGTCAGAGCACATGGGGAGGAGTCATCTTACCCGCAGAGGCCCCAGGATACCCCCTCGGAGAGAAGGAGATAGATCTGCTCTAAAAGTGCCCCTCCCCGACCCTTGAATTCAATGCAGACTTGCCCCAGCACGGCCACCAGCAACCCTCCTCTGGGGGTCACATGGCTGAGAGCAACCTCCTACCCTCAGACTATTCACAGCTCCAACGCATAGGGGAGTGGTGGACCGCGCGCTGGGCTCGGAATGCGCGGGGAGAAGGGTGGGTGGCTAGAGCTGGTCTCAGGGCCGCCCCCGCAGACCCCCAGCCTGCCGCCAACGGCAGAACTGTTCCACCTGGAGCCTGAACGCGGAGGTCGCACTTCTCAACGCACCCAGCGCGGAAAGATGAAGGAGACCCAACTTAAGAACAGTTAAAGCAATGGGGACCCTAGGGGTGTCACGGTGGGCAGTTTGGGGGGCCTAGGTGTTGATGGTTATCATTCTTAAGGGATGGTGATCCCGTGCAAAGCGTGCTAAGCGCCTCGCCGAAGTGACTCTGTCCCGCTCCCGGTGGGAGGTGGCCCCGGAGGTGGGACGTAGGAGTCCGTCTCCCGCCCGCCGCGCCCCAAGTCCGCAGCGCGCCCTCCGGGTGGGCCAGGACTGCACTCGCGGCGCTCGGGGCCGGATCCCCGTCGGCGCGCGTCTTGGACTTGGGCGGGGAGAGGGCGGGCGGTGACCGCGGCTCCTCCCTCCTCTGCCCCCGGCTCCCCTACTCTTAACCCGCGCGCGGGGGCGCCCGGGCCACTGGGCTCCGCAGAGCAAGCGAGCGGTCCGCGTGCGTCCAGTCCCAAGGCCGACGCCAGCACGCCCGCATGGCCCCCGCAGCGGCGTCGGGTGGCAGCACCCTGCCCAGAGGCTTCGCGGTCTTCGCCACTTTCCCGGACCTGCTCTTCATCTTCGAGTTTGTGAGTGGCTGGCGCGTCCGCGCCCGTGCCAGGGAAGGGGCGGGATGGGTGGTGGCGGCGGATCCGCAGGCTGCGCAGGTCCCCGGAGCATCGGGGTACCGGGGCCAGAGTGAGGAAACCTCCTCCCACCCCACCCCCGGTCGTTTGGCCCCCTCTAGACAAGCCAAGGGGGTAAACAGCCTCCAGGACCTAGATGGGAAAACCAAATTCGCAGCATGGGTCAAATGTTGGAATTAGGCCTGGGTCCACTGGCTGTGCGCTTGGTTTCAAAGCTGCGCTCCCAGCTCGCCTCACAGGAGCCGCGCAGAGAATGCCCTTACTGGAGAGCGACGTCCTTGTACAAAGTGCCCAGCTTTTCCCAAGGTTAGGATTTCGTTTAAAAGAAAGAAAGAAAGAAAGA